AGGAAGTGTCTGGAGAGAGGGAGGTCTGGGCATCTTTGCTTAGACTGCTGCCCCCGCGACCCGGTCCCGGATAAGCGGAGGAAAATGGATGGATGGATGGATATTCCATGTTTGTCAGCACTACATCGGGCACAGTAAACAGAATTTTCCAGTCTGCAGCCTGACTCGAGTGAAGGATGCTCCTTTGGCATTTTGCTGGAGAATCTGTGTATCTGGAGTGGGCTGGATTACATAATTGGTACTTTCACACTTTCCTGTGCAGATGAAGAGAGGATTGGCAAGCTCTGCACCACAGACACAGCCTGGACTGTGTGGCACACCAGCTCACACAGACACAAATAGCCCACACAATCTGAAAAACAAATTACATAAAGAGCTGTTGTTTGGTGTCTAGTAGTGAGTGTCTCAATCTCTCATTTCCCTTGCCAAGCTTTCTATGGTTTACTAAGTCAGTGATGTCCATGTTTGCTCATTTTATTAATTCTTTTTCCTCCTTCCTTCTCTCCTGTCCTCTCCTGCACAGCTTCTGAGAAAGAGGCACATAGGGAACGACATCGTCACCATAATCTTTCAGGAGCCTGGAGCTTTGCCTTTCACCCCTCAGAATATTCGCTCACACTTCCAGCATGTCTTTGTTATTGTCCGTGTGCACAACCCGTGCTCTGAAAACACCTGTTACAGGTAAACACTTAGAGCAGGACAAACACCTTGTCAGACACACACTGCTATGATAAAAATGAGGAGTTTCTCACCCCTAAAATCCACCTCGCCTTTTCTCTCAGTGTTGCTGTGACACGGATGGAGGATGTGCCCCCCTTTGGCCCACCCATCCCCAGTGGCGTCACATTCCGTGACCCAGAAACCTTTCGTAACTTCCTTCTAGCCAAAGTTATCAATGCAGAAAATTCAGCGCACAAGTCAGAGAAGTTCCACACAATGGCGACACGAACGCGGCAGGAGTATCTGCGTGACCTGGCTGAGAACTACATCAGCAGCACACCGCTCGACTCAGCCGGCAAGCTCAACAACCTCATCTCCCTCGCATCCAAAAAACGTGAGCGCTCAAAGGCAAGAGAAGGAGCAGAGCTGGGAGCTGAAGGCGCCATCGCCTGGAGGGTCCAGGCTCAGGATTTTAGTGGAGGTGGGACCGAACTCTCATGTGCTCTGGGTGTGTCGGCTGAGTACGTGCTCCTTATTGACTGTTCCACCAAAGAGGTGGTGTTTAACTGTTTCTGTGCGGACGTGATCGGCTGGACACCGGAGCGTCTGGCACTGAAGATCTTCTATGGCAGAGGAGACCACATCGCAGTGCGGGTACCGGAAGGCTGTGCACAGGACATCAGGGAAATGGTGCAGAGGTTAAAGGTGAGAGCTTGTCCCATTTGAAATGTAGGGCATGACTCTGTGTACATATATATATATATATTTTTTTTTTCCTGAAAAGCTTAGATGCTGACTATAAACTGCACCCCCCCAACACACACACACGCACTTCTTTTTACCAGCAAAAAAACCATCCATGTTTACTAGCTTACAGTTCTCTTCTTCACTGTCTTGGTGCATTGTTTTGTTGCTTTCCATGCTACTGCCACCAAGTGACCGTCAGGGTAATAGTGTGAAAATACACTCGGTAAAAACATTGTTCTATAGAACTACTAGTGGTTAATAAACTCCACAACAAGCCTTTAAAAGCAGGAAATTATCTATCACATTTTTTTATTCCCACAGTGCAAACATTTGTCTTCAAACCACCAGCAGGATGAATTGCATGTTCTGCTTTGTCAAGTCATTGTTTTTTTTGTTACCATGTGCTTACTAAAGTTTTATCTTGAAAATCGGTGGAATTGTTTTCATGCCTTTATTCTGTTGTATATGTTTTGAAGTGTTGCACTCAGCAGGTTTCCAGTGTTTTTCATTCCTTGAAAGTTTTTCTAAGGCACCTGGGAAGCCTGTAAATTCACAGACTCAAAGGATTTTACTGCCAGAGAAAACAACATGACCACAGCAGGAGTAACTGTGATGACAGTTGCATGAAGGAAGGGCTTTCTTTTGAAAACAGTGTTGTGTAGATGAAAACATCTGTAATCCAGTGGTATGAAATGCTTTATGTTGCATAGCATGTGTTACATGCAGTCACTTTCTCAAGTTTCATATTGTGATAATCCCAGATAAAGTTCACAGAAAGCTGACTGATTCAGACTGTTTTATTACAAATGAAAGAACATAATAGTTTAATTGTGTTATTTTTATTTTTGCTAATTTGTCCTCCCTCCTGTTTTGGCCAGTCGTTGACAGTGGGATGCGAGACAGTGGATATGACTCTGAGAAGAAACGGACTGGGACAACTGGGCTTCCATGTTCGCTTGGACGGCACTGTGGCTGAGGTATTGTCAAATCGCCATCTGCCACGCCAGATCTCATACTGAAATACTCATTTTGAAGAGTCTTGGCTGCACATAACTGGCTTGTTTGAAGACCGTTTGTGGTGTTCTCATGCAGGTAGAGGAATATGGCTTTGCCTGGCAGGCAGGACTGAGGCAGGGCAGTCGGCTGGTGGAGATCTGCAAGGTGGCTGCAGTGACGCTGACTCACGAACAGATGGTCGACCTGCTGAGGACGTCGGTCACGGTCAAAGTGGTCATCATTCCTCCGTATGAAGAGGGAGGGCCTCGCAGGTGTGTTTAAGTCTGAATGTTTCTTTGAGTGAAACTAATGAGGGCGCTTCATTTATAAACAGCTGTGGCAAATACAGATGTCAAAGCAGTGGGTGGGAGCTTAGGAGGGCACTGAGCAGGCAGGAGTGGAAGGACAAGAGTGAGTACAGGATGCTCAAACACACAAAGATGGTGGCCAGACTCCAATGTTCTGAGAGGATTTTGTGTGGGAGTGTGTAAAAAGAGGAAGCGAGTGAACAGAGAGAAAGAAGAACGAATCGTTCAAGAGGAAACGGGCGAAATGAGGCACAGAGACAACAAAGAAAGAAGCTTTTGTTTAACATTTATTTAAAAACATCTCCTGTTCTTTGTTTCTTTCTCTGTTTCATATATCGCCATCTCGCTCTGCTTATTATCATCCTTGTCATCCTTTTCCCTCCATTCAGCTACACATAAGGCCTTGACTGAGCAGCGTTTCACAACGGTTGCAGAGGTGACGAAATAAATATACAGAGTGTGTTGTTTCTGACTGGAGAACCGGGGCTTCTAAATACAGTCATTATGTCTGGCTGTGTGATCGCACTGTGGTTAGATTTCTTTAATGTTGGAGGCAGTTTAATTACACCAAGTTAAATTCCTTTCAGACACACACACTCTCTATCGTGGCATTGGAACAGCTGATAATTAGTCTTGTATTTCTCCCTCTCCCTCTCTGAATCATGTGTTGTTGTGTGCCAGGCAAGCAGATTGGATGAGATTAAGGACTGGAATCTGCAGGAAAAATGGGAGACCACAAAAAAAACAATAAATGAATGGAAGTATTTAATTAAAAATGCAATCCATGCTCAAATGAAAAGGATGGAGACGAGGGAGCAATGAGAGATTGAGAGAATGGCAGCAATGAGTTTGTTCAGAAGAGCGCTCGGTGAGGAGGACGTGTCTCAACACCTCCGAGATTGAGAGAAGTGGGTGGAAGAGAGAAAGAGAGACCAGAGTTGGAAGTGTTTTTCCTTTCTTTCCTGCCTCGGACGTACACACGCAAGATGGACGGGTGCAGCAGAGAAGAGGTGTGATTGATGTCAGCAGTGTGTTTGGCCACATGAGTGTGTGTGTGTGTGCGTGCTGGGGAGCTCCAGCTGTGTCACCTCAGCCAGTGCAGTGGAAGAAAAAGTGCATGTCTACTCACTGTAAGGTTGGTATGCTCGTGTGTCTGTATGAGGGTAGAGCATTTACTACTATTACACAGATGGTTATTGATTCACTATTAGTCCTTGATCAATCAAAATGACCGGACCACATGTTGTGTTCATGCAAATTAATTTGTGTTTCTAAATACAGCACAGTTGTGCACCGTTGCTATAGTTCTGCTAAATGCACTATCAGTTGATATTTGGTGATGTTCATGGTATCATCTAGACATTTGTTGGTGTGTGTGTGTGTGTGTGTGTGTGTGTGTGTGTGTGTGTGTGTTCTTGTTCTGTTTACACCTTGCTAGAAATTGATTAGTCGATTGACAGAAAAATACATGCCAACTAATCTGATAATTGTCATTTTTCAAGCAACAATAATATGTATGTTTAGAATATTTCAGTCTCTTAAAAGGAAGACTCAATGCTTTTCTTACTCTCACGGGTGACGAAGGAAGCATCACACACTGCGTTCGCATCTTTTATCATGTTGTTTCTCTTTAAGTTCTTATTTAATTCCTCTCCTGCCTTATTTCCCATCACTGCAGTTTTTAACTCTTCACTTTGACGCTATTTTTCCTCCGTCATTGTTGCCCTCGTCTTTCGTTTCCTCCTCCCTCTTCCTCTCGGCATTTATCTGGTTTTAAATACATCCTCTATGCATAATTGATGCCTTCTGCCCTCCTGTAATAGCCTTTGTGAATGAAATAATGATGATGTATAAAAGGTATGTGATGGATTTAAGGCTACTCTGGGAATATTCAAGCATTTTAGTTGAGTGCTGTGTTTGTGTCTTGAGTTAATAAACGAAGATGACCGCCCTCCGACCAGGAGCTCTGACAGTGATTTCATAATTGATGTGACTAAATGCCAGCTTGTCTTCATCCGAGAGCTGTTTTCCTCTTGTGATATTTTGTTTTAGGACAAGGAGTTAAAAGGCTACTTTTCTGTGTTGTTTTAGGAAACTACTGAATGATACTGTTATAGACTTTAGGGAAAAAAAGAAAACTTTTAAACTAAGCATACATTTTAAGCACACTAACTATGACCTAGTGCACATATTCCCAAACTTTTAACTAACTATGACCTAGTGCACATATTCCGTGTGTGTATTTGACCACATTTGATCCATAGGCATGATGGGAGTCCTGATGTGCCGGTAATCAGTTTCCTCTCTATCTCCTTCCACCAGTGTCAGGGGAGCTCATTAGTGAGCTCTGTTATGTGTCTGCTGTGTGTTTGCACTTCCACAAAGTGTGGTACAAGAGGATGATAATGTGTGGTATTCCTGAGGAAATTCGTTGAGCACTTGTGATGCTCTGGACTTGGCACATAAGCCACAGTTCTGGTTCAGCTGCAGTTCAAGCCTTGAGAGAGGAGGCTGCTGTTTCTTATCACTGTTTGTACTGACCCACAGCTGAGGATCAGAAGCTTTGGGTGAAGGCTGTGTTGAGATACAAAGAGGGTTTGGAAGGCGAGCTGCAACATTTAAGTGTCAAACTTTTGATTCACTTGCTGTGCTCGATTTCTGATGCTGTTTATCTACTCGTCTTACTAAAAGGCTTCTCTCTTTTTTAGGGGCTGCACAGAGGAGTATGAGATGAAGACCATGGAGCAGAAGCCAGAACCTGAGCCTTTGGCAGCAGGCTACCGACCCTCGCCTCGTCCAATGTGGCGATGGGACAGTCCACCTGTTCCTCAAGGGCTCCACAGCGCTCCCAACCCACAGCGTTGGGGCCCCATGGGTCCTCCAATGCCCCGCTCACAGAAGGCGCTGATGCCAGTTCCCTACAGAGAGCCTCAGCACCTCAATGCCAAGAGGTGAGACTCAGAGCCACTATGCTGCGTTCATTTATCATCACATGGGATTACAAGTGAGACCAGATCCCAGGTCCCAGACTTCCTAATCATCCCCCATATGTATAATGTCAAATCAGGCTTATGTCATGCTCATTAATAGCTGTTTCCACCAGCTGACGATACAGTCCAGCAGTCACAGCTTTGTCGATGGGATGGAGAACAGGGATGTTAACGTTCCTACGTAGCTTGTCAGCTACATCCATATAAAGTCCTAACAGAAACATGCTCTTAAAAACTAGGAAAAGTGGCAGCACAGCTTAACAGGTTGTTTTTAGTCAACTTATAAAAATAAAAATAAAAGCTCAAAGTGGAAGTTTGATTGTCATGGAAAACGTTCTCCCAATACCCACTCTGTGTTTTGAGTGTATGTTAAGTTACACTGTGACTTGGTTAAGGCAACCAAACCCCACCTCCAGCACATGTCTGATGAAATGGCAGTTCGGTCTGTTTATCAGGCGGCTGTTGCAGTTGCATGGAGAAACTTATTCCTTCCATCATAATGACATTGTAAAAGCATTGTAAATTATGTGACCCAATCAGTTGACGGTATTTCTGGCTTCACCACATTTTAGAGATGCCCTCCTGGAGGCAGCTTCATGCAGCTTAATAAATTAATTTCAAATCATCGGTATTCATCAAGCTGAATATGTTTGGGGAAGTGTAGTCATAGAAACTGACATTTTGACACACCGCCCTGTCCCAGGCTTAATAACCATAGTCAGATCCTAGCACGTTCTGAGTGGATCGCCTTGCTGTGGCGCTGTTTCTCACTAAAGTTAGATAAATGATTTTTTGTGTTCCACTCACAGCCTTATTCACACCCCTCACCTCTCTGCAGTCACTCTGTTTCTCTCTTGGTTGACCCTCGTCCTCTGTGTGTCCTCCAGGCCTGTGAGCTACCCAGAGAACCACTACAGTCTGACTCCTCCAGGAGGCGACCGAGTTCTGCCCTACAGAAACCCTTCAGCCAGCTTCTCCTCGCCCTCCCCTGGTCTGGTAGGCCTCTCCTCCATGGGGCCACCTGGACTCACACCAGGCCCCTTTGTACGCTACAAACCTTCACCCGACAGGTGTGTGGAAGTGTGTGTGTGTGTGTGGTCTTGTGTTCTCTGAACTCTCTTCCGTCACTCCTTTGATCTTGATTAAACATGTCTGCTGTTACTCATAATAGCTGTTTTGTGTGTTCGAAGCGGATTAGATCGGTTCATAAAACAGACTGAGCAGTGTGCCGATTTCAGGTCTGCAGTTAGACGTGTATGAACGCACTGTCTCCTGTTGTGTGGGTGGCTCTTGTGTGGAGGTTGTTAACATCTTATCCAACTAGAGGAACCTGTTTTATTTAACCGCCATGCAGATGTAAAACAGAAACTGAAGACCTCCAGTGTTAGTCATTGACACTGTGTTTTTTGGGCTAGCTGCATGTCTTTAACCTTAATCCTCTCTGTGTCCCACTGTAGTTGACTGTGTGTGTGGGGGATGTGTTTTTGGATAAACTGTGGTATAAATAATAATATAAATTAATGTGATTTTCCCAGGTATTCTAGTTATTTTACAACAGGCAGTGGTATGAATGTGTGAATGTGTTTGTTATCACATACCCTCCCTCCTCCTGTGTAGATATGGTACAGGACAGCGGTCCCTGCTGCCCTATGAGCCCCACCTCAACGTGGACATCATGTCCAGTGGAGAGTCTTCCTCGGGCTTCACCAGCCAGGAGAGCACCATGGAGCGCTGCAAAACAGGTACATCATCACCTTAAAAAAAAATCACTGTCACATTCTTACAATTAAAGTACAACAAGTTTCATACTTGTTCTACTTTAAAGCAGCTATAATAAATACTTTTTTATTAACAGTAGGAAATATCACTTAACTCTACAGTTTCTATCAGATCTACAGAGTTGATTGGTGTCTTTCAACTCATTCTTTTGGTTTTACCGCCCACAGCTTTAGTATTTTGTTTACTCACCAGTTCACCTTGCCTGCAACAGGCTGCTGATTTCAAAATGTAGCAGCTAAAGAGCCAGATTTCCTTTGGGAACTGGTGGGGAGTAAAAACTAGTTTAAACCCATAATAACAAAAATTTTTTTTGACCACTTGGGAACAGAGGAATCAAGCTGTAAACACAACACTGACATCTTAGGAACTTTCAGTTGATACAGTGAACTCCTTAGTAGGGATGCACAATACTAATACCAGTATAGGGTATCTGGTCTGATGCCACCCTCTAGTACTCATACTCGTAAAAGTTGTCCGATGCTACACACTAATACCACTTAACAGCAACATTATATTAACCTCACACTGGCTGTGCTGGTTATTAGGCAGTGAAGAAGAAATTTCAGTGGTTCATATCCACTCAAAGATAAGTGACAATGACAAAAGTAAAGCCAATCATATCTATATAGTTTCAAAGCATGTGTATTGCATTTGAGTAGAGATAACTTGGTGTAATTTGAGTGATTGCTGTAGGGAAGGGTCAGTGTTTAAATGTGATATAGGTATTTAATCCTTTTTGTCGGTCATGAAGGTTCAGTGTAATTTGCTTTAATCCCATGAGCGTCTGTGTGTGTCTTCTGGCAGAACCCCTGTGGCACGTTCCAGTTTCGTCGTCTCGGGGACCAGGTGGTGGAGGGGGGCCAAGGAGAATGACCAGACAGGATGTCCCAGGGAAAGACTCTCCAAACAGACACTCGAAGGTCAGACTTGGCATTACCTCATCCCATTTCTTCATGTGTCTCCTTCTCTGCCTCATTTCCTCCGAGTCTGACTCCTGTCCTTATGTCCTCTGTAGGGTGAGACTCAATACTCGAGTCACTCCAGCAGTAACACTCTGTCCAGTAACGCCTCCAGCAGCCACAGCGATGAGCGATGGTTCGACGGAGGAGCTGGAGGTGAGCGGGGAGGGGGCGGGGTTTGCCTTGCTGACCCGTCTGACCAAGACCCCGACCTTCTCAACAAGGGCGGGTCCAGCGACAGCGGCATCGATGCCTCGACCCATTACAGCAACACTCGCCACGGGAACTTGTCCAACACCCAGTCCCACAAGCCCATGCACTGCTCTGTGACCTACAGCGGCGTCCAAGAGCTGTCACTGGGAAGGAGCAGCGGCAGTGCAGAAACACGGAGACGAGAGTCTTCACCCATCATACCAGCCACAGCCAATCAGAACCAAGGGTATCGGACAAGGACATTCCCGCCTCCTGGCGGCAGTGCGGATAAGATGGATGCTTTCAAACCCAGGTAAGAGACCAGCTCACTGATGAGATGCATCTTTTATGGCACTTTTTATGAAGCTAATATTAACTAACATTAACCTCAGTGAAAGACGGCAAATTCATCCTGCAGACAGACGTGACAAATGAAAGTAAAGGCCAACATGAAGTGTCTCAGTAAGGTGCCGGGCCACAACGTGCCACCAGAACAGCTTCAGCTTGGCACTGACTCTCCCAAGTCTCTGAACTCCACTGGAGGCATGAACACCGTTCTTCCAAAAGAGATTCCCCTCATGGTGTTTTGATGATGGTGGAGATGCTGTCTCCTGTGTTGAGACCTGGTGACTGTGAAGGCCACAGCATATGATTCACATCATTTTCATCAAACCATTGTGTCCTATGGATGGGGTGGCACCATCATCCTGGAAGAGAGCACTCAGTTATTCAGGGTTTTGCTTTCATTAGTCATCTGTCTCTGTGTGCTTTGTAATAACTTGACTTTTAACAAGATCTGAATGATTTTAAATGAAGGATCCATCAAGCAGGAGTAAAGTATGACCACCTGCTCCTCTTTAAACACTGATACAAGAAATTGCAGTTTTAAAGTGCATATTAATATTTATAGCAACTTAATCCTTTATAAATTATCATGTGACTTTTTTTTTCCTGTTGGAGGACTTGTCACTGCCGCCCCCACATCATAAATGCATGTAGCCACTGAACAGACCAACGTGCACAGGCTTTAACCACTCTGTGTTGGATTAAAACGATCTGTGTTCAGTGCCATCATCTGTAGTGCTGCAGTCTGTGCCCGGGATGTGTTGGACCATCAGTGCACTGTACAATGTAATTGTAATATAATTTTTTTTTGCTGTGGAGAAGAATTGGTGGAGAAAAGACATTTCAAGTCCTGTTCTGCTGTTATGCAGGATGGCAAGGTACTTAATTTCGTTGATTGGTACAGGGCATAAACACAATGTTATCTATCAGAAAGTATCCATCTAAGTAATGTAAAATGATTTTAACATATACCCTTATTCACACCATGTAGCTGTTGACTTTCTGTCCGGGCGTTTGTATCAACACTTAACGTATGCCACCTAATCAGCATTAGTGAGTCAAATCCAAACATAGTTAGCTTCCTGTGGCTACCAGTCCAACTGACATTTGTGCATAAATCACACATACATCTGGATGTCCTGTCTATCTTCTCAGGGCCTACACACCCCAGGGCTACAAGACTCCGACGGCAGAGAAAGCGTGGCCCATCCGAGCTGCTACAGCAACACCCACCTCAGCTCAGTTAGGTGCCATCCTTCTGTCCAGCTCTGCCCCGAAGGCTTTACATGGGAAAAGCAGGCAACCCGCCCGGCAGACCGAAGACAACAGTCCATCACCTTCGAATGCAACCACAGCGTCCAGCTCTGACAGCAACAATAGCAAGAAGTAAGACGGAGACTAAGCTCAAAATGATCAACATTGATTTACTCCCAACTCCTGATACACACCCCCTAAGCGGGCACACGGCAGTGGAAACGAATGTAGAACCTGGGTGTGGTTACACAGCCCAACACATTTCTTTAGGTTTGTGTGGTGGAAAAAGCCTAGAAGTAATTGTAACCATGGAGCAGGTTCAACGTCACTAATAGAAAACTCAGTATCCTGGGTGCTGTTTTTATTTTAGATGAGCTACTGAAGTAGTGATCGTTAAACACGCTCGAGGTTTGATTTTTTGGAGCGATGCAGGAACAGGACACGATTAAGAAAATACATAATTCTTACCTGATCCTCTGTGTTTCTGTTGCTTACGTCTTTTGTCAACAGGCAGGTGGACACGAATTCAAAGAACGTCTTTGGACAACCTCGACTCCGAGCTTCTCTGAGGGACCTGCGTTCTCCACGACGGACGTATAAGAGCACCATCGAAGATGACCTGAAGAAACTGATCATCATGGACAATCCAGGAGAGATGCCACAAAGAGAACCAGTGAGGAACACACAAACACTTGTGGACCATTATGTCTAATCGGCAGCACTTTCACAATCTTGCACACACAGCTCTGATCTCTGTCCCCTGTGTCCCTGTAGTCTCCCAGACGAACTCTGCAGCGCACATTTTCAGATGAGTCGCTGTGCAGCGGGCGCAGAGACTCCAGCTTTGCGACCACTGAGAATCAGACGACTCCAACCGATGTGCTGTTCACCTGCACGTTGCCCACACGCAGGCATGCCATCTCTTCCAACCACTTGCAGAACAAAAAGAGTGAGTTCCCAAAGCAGTGCTATTATAACTGTAGTGTCCACTGCATTTGTTGCATTCATAAGTCCTGCAGCCTTGGTGTATGTGACGCTGTTGTTTAATGCAGAGGTTTGTTTACTTACTGCAGCTGTTGTCCTCTGTCCCTCAGTGCCTCTGTCTGCATCAGAGCTGTCTCTGACAGAAGTAAAGGACAAAGTTCCCCCTCTGAGGAGGCTCGATCCTGGCCTGATGCCCCTTCCTGACACAGCCTGTGGTCTGGAGTGGTCCAGCCTGGTCAATGCTGCTAAAGCTTACGAAGGTGAGGACTGAGACACTTCAGGATTAGGTTTGTTCAACCTAGGCTCAGTGTGGGACTCTTATTGTTCTGTAGGGGGTTGTGTTACAGTTTGGACCAACAACTCTTGAATTTAGCAGCTGCCCTCAGGCAAGAAGATGGTGCAGGTTTGATGTATGCACACATACACAAGTGCTAACATCAACTACCTTTATGTCAGATTAAGTTTAATGCTAAACAAATCTAAATATAACTGCTCTGTTGTAACAATGAACTAACCAGTATACACAATCGTAAACTCCTGGTGGGCGTGAGACTTATTGTCTGGTTGCTGGGGACTGATTGCTTTTGCAATGCCTCAGTCAGCTCTCTGTTGTCACTCGGCAGTCCTGGGAAAGAAGGAGGGACCTGGGTGTCATTTGCATCTCGTACACAATCACCTGCTCTGCTTCTCGGCTACTGTTTCGTTTCTGGGTCTCGCTGCTGTCTCTCATGTCCACAGAGACTACCACATCATAAACAAACACACTAAACTGAAACCAACACCTGATCCACGGCCTCACCTGCTGCCAGGTCCACCTGCGCTGAGATGTGTACCGTGTTGTATATCCCAAGAGACCCTTGAGTTACCAAAATAAAACAAACTAGTTTATGCAGCTTTTATGAAGTGCAATCACGTGTCTCTGTTGCAGCACAACGAGCGGTTTCCCTCTTCTCACTGACTGAGCCACAGGTTGGAGGTCCAGAAATGAGGCCGGCCGTCAGTCCAGTCCAGTTTCTCACTCCTCAGACACCACGGACCACGCCAACCATCAGCGGGTAGGTCCATCTCAACACCACACAGGTGAAACAAACTGTATCGGTTGTAAAGTAATGAGAGAACTGGAAGAACACAGAGTATCTAATTATCCATGGCTTTGTTATGTTTCAGGCCTGCTGTCCTGTTGTAAACCTTGTCACTACTGCCACCTTGTGGTAATTTATTTAACAGAATTAGAAGTAAATCCCCAGGCTGCTAGTCCTCTGTGTATTCTCACCAGAGTAACAGTTGGTTGTTTGAGTAGGCTCTGTGTTGCCAGAGGAAGTTTGTTCTGCCAGGGAGCAGCAAGACAATGACTTTCTTATTGAAACTGAGGAGCTTTTATTTTTTAGGACGTTCAGACATGAACACCATTAACGCCCGTCTTCCCTGTAAAACCTACATTCCCCGTAGAGCTGTGGGTGTGTACGTGGCTCTTTAGAGTGTTGTAATTGTTGGCTCTATGCAAAATAATGGTGCTGTGTGTGTCTACAGTGACGAGGTGCCCAACGATTTGTCTGGTCGGCTCTACCACCTGGAGGTCATGTTAAAGCAGCTGAACAATGATCTGGAGAAAGTGAGTTTTTGTTTTCTTGCAATGTTACCTGCATTAGACAGCTGAAAGTACAATGACACCACAAACACTGGGAGGAGGGTTTTAAGCTCCTTAGTCCTCTGTAGCCACCAGCAAGTTTCAAACTTGTGACTTACTAAACCAGGTTGCACCATTAAAACTAAAAGAAAATTTTTGCTAGTGAAGAAATTAGTCATGACTAAACTGATTGTTAGGAAACATCTGTAGTCCAGTGGACTCAAAGGCAGCCAGCTGCTGTATGGATTTGGGGGGTAGGTGATATATTTAACATGAGTAGAATACCTCATAAATGTAAATATAACTTTGTTTTATTAAGTGCGCCATATGGAGAATTACATCTTTTCCTGCATTTAGCACTAGAAAGAAACATCCAAGTAAGCAGCCTGCGCTTATTAGTGAGTTGTTTCAGCATCATTAACTTTTTGTAATGAGAGATAGGTTATTTTGTGAAATGTGAATTTACATCTCTGTGTTAGCCCTGCGATGGATTGGCGACCTATCCAGGGTGTGCCCCGCCTTCGCCCGATTGCCGGCCGGGATTGGCTCCGCCCCCGTGACCCTGTTCAGGGACTAAGCAGTAGAAAATGAATGAATGAATGAATTTATGGTACATAACTGAATTACTGACACTCACTGTTATAGTTTGAGAGAGGAGCCTGCATACCAGCTTTTAATCTTCTTACTAAGGCTGCAGTTAATGATTATATTCATTTCAGTTTTTTTATTAATTGCTTTGTCAAGAAATTGACAGTAAATAGTGAACAATGTCACTAATAATTTCCTCCAGCCCAAGGTGACATATAAACAGCAGTCAAGAGATCTAAAGATATTCAGTTTACTGTTAATATGTAACAAAGCAAAGAAGACAGAAACAGCAAATGACATTTTGACCTAAACGATGACAAACAATTATTAAATTATCAAAACAGTTGCTGATTAATTTTCATATGTAGCATCATTTTGATCAGGTCTCACAATGTCACTTTAAGCAGTCTAGTGTGGTCATTTGATCCAGGCACCTACGGAGGAGTCGCACCAACAGTTAGTAGGCGAAGATATTTTCTAACAACTCATCTCCACATTAGCATTTGAATTATAACTAGAGTGTCTCTGAAACTCTGACCAGCTGGTGCACCTGATTCCTGGGCCACATTTAAACCAAGGGAATGATGGTTATGTTGTACGGACCTACTGGGAAGTCCCTTTTTATTTTTTATTATAATATACAGATATTGTGTCACTGATGTTTGTGTTCAAACTCCTCATGAAACCCTCAGCTTTTCTAGTTCACTTTGAGTACATCTGGATAACAGTAAATAGTCAACATCCAGCCACATGAACTGAGCACTCATCATTTCTCTTCTCTCCTTGTTTTGTTGTTTCCATCAGGAGAAGCAGGATAAAGTGGTTCTGCTCGCTGAGATGGCCAACCTGAGGGAGAATAACCAGCGCTTGCAGGAGGAAAGCCAGACAGCCAGTGAGCAGCTGCGGAAGTTCAGCATGCTTTTTACCAACCTCAACAGGACAGGAAGTGACCACGAGGCTCACTCCTTAACACATGGAACTGACTCAAAGAGGGAGTGAAGAATAGGAAACGTGTGAGCTATGAGAGAAATATTCTTTCAGGAGTCAAAGGTTGCAGTGATGTAACTTCTCTTAGCTTCTACTTGACTGCCTTAAACTAGAGAAGAATCAAGAGACAATGTCTTTTTTTTTTTTTTAAAGCAACTTTCCCAAAAAGTCTCAGCAAGTCTGTGCACAGACAGAGCAGAGACCCTCCCTCTCTTTTCTCTGAGCCCGCCTATTTTTCTAAACTGAAGTCAAAAGGTCTTATATACTTGTCATATATATATATAAATATTTAACATTACTGTGCTGGAGGAGCAAGAAGGAGAGGAGAACCAGACTGTTTGTTTCAGAGAAAACTACATCACCTGGAGAGGCCTAATACTGTAGCTGCAGCGAATCAGCCAAAAAAGGACTCATTACAGACTGCATCTCCCAGAATGCACTAGAAGTGACAGAAACTCTACAGACATGGTACTGTAGATACATACCTGTGGTACAATTCTCCTGTATCAATATTATCTATATTGTACTGATATTGCCTAACAGTTGTACTGAAGAGGTGTGTGTGTGTGTGTGTGTGTAAAAATGATGGTACAGCGAATATTCAGAAGCATTACTGCACAACAGTGTTTGTGCTCAAGGACAGATGCATTTTATTACCCTCTGGTGTGTGTATGTGTGCTGCATAGTGAGGACCAAAAAAATAATTTTTTTGCTACAGAGTGAGGACATTTTTGGAAAGTGAGGACATTTTGGCTCGTCCTCACTTTGTCAAAGACTTTTTTGAGGGTTAAGATGGTTTTAGGCATCAGGTTAGAATTGGGTCTAGGTTAGGTGTTAGGGGGAAGGGTTGTGGTTGGGCATTTAGCTCTGATAGTTTAGGTTAGGGGAAGGGGCTAGGGGATGCCTTATGTCAGTGAGTGTCCTCACAAAGACAGAAGTATGTGTGTGTGTATTAATGGGAGTGTCTGAATAAGAGGTTGAATGTGATGGTCTGTTCAAGGACAGCGACGTGATAAACTAGTTTACTGTAACATAAAACTTGAGGGCCACAGTAATTTCCTTTCTTCCGTTTACTTGGATGAGCCGTGGCCCACAGATGTGAAACAAGCCATCAGTGTGTTGAGCAAGTGTGAATGGTTGATGTCAGAAATTCAGTGATGTACAGCTACCAGTATCACATCTCTAATTGTAGAACATTGTTTTGAATTTAATGTTCATTGTTTTCAGCGGTATCGTATCATCTCAGATCTTTTTGAGCTCGGGTTGTTATTACAGTACGTCAGTGAAATGATCTTTGTTGTAATGTTCAAAGCAGCACTTCACTTTGTTGAGTTTCTGGCCGAGATAATTAGATTAATACCAAGTCTAACGTTTCTCTGTTAGAATGTTATTAGGCTACAGCCACCAAACTGTTTCTGGCAGTACAAGGACTGGAAACCATTTATCTTGTTAACTGAAGTAACAGAATCCCCCCCCTACCAGCACATCTAAAGGTCACTGTTTGATAGGTTATATCTCATTTCTTTAGGTCATACACAAAACAACTTGTAAATATGACAATTCACTGTTAGCTAGTAGCAGTAACTTTCTGTTGTCTCTGCTGGTTGCCAAGCAACTGGTCTGGGTGTTGCATCATATACATTGACCCACCAAATTTGTGAATTGATTAGGAATTTGAGCTAGCCACTGCGGACGATTTTTGGACCTAATGCCTTATCACAGGGGTGTTGAGCAAGTTGTGACCCAGGGACAACCGTTCTGACTAAGTGGGATGGATAGACTGGATGGGCGCTGTTTTAATCCTGGAAGTCACCTTGGCTTTTCTAAAGTGTATATATTTGTATGAATTTTATTATTCACAAAGAATAAGTAATACATGGAAATGAGTTAAAAAAAAAAAAAGATTTCTACAATGAAATTCATTGAGTACATGTTCAGGGGCCACTTTAAATGCATTCACGGACCACCAGGGGGCCACGGACCACTGGTCAAGAACCCACACCTCATCACATAATTAGTGAGCTTCAGGGGCGCTGGTAGGGGGACGTCATTACCATTGGACAAAGCCAGGCTAACAGTCTCTTCATCAGTTGGCTGCAGTGTATAAGATTTGACTGACACAAAGCAACGCGGTCACATTTATTTGTTTCCAGTTTGTAAAATTAAGTACAAATTTGACTTTAGTAGTTCCTGTTTGCTATGTACAACTATAGGTACTAGCAGCTTTCACTGAACTCATTCCGTTACTGAAGAAAACCTGATTTTCTCAGGTATGTTCTGGAGGTTCAGAAGGACTGTCTCTTTTGATTGGATGGACACTGGAGATGAGTGTAGGTTCAGAAGGACTGTCTCTTTTCTATGATTGGATGGACACTGGAGATGAGTGTAAATAACAGTGAAAATACATGTTTCCTATGTTCGGGTTTGACCGAGCTATGACTGGCTCCTGTCAAATGGTAACAAACTGGCAAACCTGTAATTTGGCTGTAGCTTAAGGGATCAATGTGAGAGTGGTAGCAATCTTTTCATTTAATTCTCAGCAAGGAAGTGAATAAGTGTTTTTCAAAATGTCTAATTATTCCTGTAATTTTGTCTCACTTGCATACTTGTTGAAGATGAAGCTCGGTCACCACTAATTGTGCTTATAGAAAACATGTACTGTATGTGGACTCGCTCGACACCGCCTTCATATCAAGAGTCGGTCTGCATGCGCAAGAGGATTTGCCCCCGTGTTCTCTGATGAACACAAGACACTATTTATACCACTAGCTTGCTTAACGATGTTGTCTACTATATCTATTTTTCATACAGAAGTGTGCGTCTGTCTGGATGCTGGTACTGAATGGACAGTACGTCCCAGCAGAGGATGAATCCTAGCTTCCAGTTTAAGTTTAGATATCACTGATAAAGTTGTACTAAATCTCCACGTGCGCTGCCCTGTGGAAGAGCTACTTCAACTGTTTGAACTTTCCAACATGCTCAGGTTTCTCAAGATGCTGTTAATGACACTTATCATCGATCAGAGGCGGGTGACACGAGGCATTGTACTGAGACCATGTAAACTTGTCTACAATCTGAGATTTTGACATTTATACTATTGTAGGTGTCCATTTAAAATGTAAAAGCATTTAATTTGATGAATTAGTTAAAAAACATCAGATTTTTCATAGTTTGCTATATCTTGATATGAAAATCAGGTAACAAGCGTCCAACTTTTATCTGGACGCTAAACGGCCATTTTCTCCTGATCGTCTTCAGCCCATTGAAAAACAAAACAAAAAAAAAGTTCTGTGCCTGCTCTACTGCTCTCACCTCATTTCTTATTCTGCAGCCAGTTTTATTGCTGAAAGTTGGCTCTCGTCATCCCAGTACCTTTGACACCAGTGACATTAATACCAACGCCTGCTTGGACTTTTGATTTGGGCTCAGAAATGTGACTTTTACCAGTCTGTCAAAAACACATTCAGGCCTCAGTGGGGCTCAGACACCCCTTAGAATTTTCTTTTTTTTTCTATATTCAGATTTGTCGGTTTTATTGGGGTCCGATCAGGCAGTGACACGCTCCTGTTACTCGGAAACCCTTCATTCCTGCATCTTCACAGGTGTAGCTGTGATTTTAGCATCTGCAAGTCTTAATCTTTAGCTCGCTTATGTAAAAGGGGCAAGGTTTCTTTATATATTCATTTTGTTCATGTTATGTATTAACTTTAAGCTATTTATAGCACACAATGATCGCTGTTGGAACAAATCAATAATGCGTTAAGGTTAACGGTAATACTGTATGACTAGGTTTGTTTATTTAGATGTGAAATATTTTGGTAATTTATTTTTAACCCATTGGCCACTGTTGCAGACAGTAGTGGAGAGGGTACTGTGTTTTCAGTGTATTTTACTTCAGATTGCTGTACAAAACTGATTTGTATTCCTGTTTTCTATTACCTGACAAGCGTCTTCATGGCCATCGGTGCTTTCTGCATGTGGCGGGGGTACACGATCCACTGATGAGACGCTCCGGTTGAACATGGTTTCCTTTGGGTTGTAATAACTTGTACATTTTAAAGTGTAAATTGCGTTTTCATTATTTTATTAAAAAATATATTAAAAGTGACTACCAGAACATTTGTTTATCTTTCAAAATGTAAAAGACTATCTTTTTTTAAACTCATCCCTCTTAAGTTGCACAAGCAGTAGTAAACTTGGTCTGCAGCAAATGTTTGTTACTAGTCACACAAAAAACCGTCCAAGCCCTAGTACAACACCATCTCTAACTATGACCTCAATAATGAGCATATAATTGAAATTATACATTTATGACAAAGTTAGGACAACTGATCACATCTCAGGCTTTTTACTTGAACAGCTAAAACTATTCAAACTGTGTTGCAGCCCTGTAGTTTCTATTTTAGTTTTAATCAAGCTGCTTTACTCTTCAGTTCCTGCAAGAATGCTGAAACAACCTGCATAGAAAATTTTATTTTTCATTACAAAGCTGTTCCCAACATTACAAAAAGTGTGTATTAAGACAGCTCACCTTAATGAAAAACAAATATTCTATACACTCTTGACAGTAGGTGTGTGCCCTAGTGAGGATGTTTAGGATCCACACATGAGGCACTCATCTCTGTTTTCCAGAGAACACACCATGGCTGCAGTGTTGCGCTCTTTGATCTCCTGCCCTGAGGCTTGGGCTGGCGGCGCCTCCTTCAGCTTCTCCTTGTTCAGGGTGAACTGGATGGGGTTGGCGGCAGGCTTCGTCCTCAGGTAGTACATCCCTGTCTTTAGGCCCTGCGGGAAGAGGGACAAGTGAATTTAATGTCTTGTTGCATTCACAGCTATTGGTTCAGATTTGTTCTGAAGGTCTCACGTACTAGTTTCCAGCCAAAGAAGTGCATGCTGGTCAGTTTGCCATAGTTTGGCTCTGCGATGTGGATGTTCAGAGACTGGCTCTGGTCAATGAAAGCACCACGGTCGGCGGCCATCTTGAGTACTGTCTTCTGGGAGATTTCCCACACAGTTTTATACAGCTGCTTCAGATCATCTGGAATCTCATTAATGTCCTGTTGGAATAAAATGAAAAACATCACATATTATTTCTTTAGCATTTAAATAGTCACAATATTGCAGCTGAAAAATAGTTGAATTAATTATTCGAGTCAGGCTTCAAGCAAAAATGCTAAACATTAGCTGATTACAGCTTCTACCTGTTAGTTGGACAAAACAAGCTACTTCAATGTGTCACCTTATTTTTTTAAGATTTTATCAAGAAAACAAATCAGTAAAAAGTAACCAATCTGCAGCCAACACAACAACACGCATGTTGGTGATGAGTTAATCATCAGGGTTGCGACTACAATCATTTTACTAATCCATTAATTTGTTGATTATTTACTGGACTTAGTGTATAAAATGTAAAAAAAAAAAAAAAAAAAAAAAAAAAAAAAAACCCAAAATTTTTTCTTCAAATCTCACTTTGTTCGACCAACAGCCCAAAACTCAAAGATCTTTGATTTACTGTTGTAGAGGATAAAAACAGGCAGTACAACACATGTCAAACAATTCACTTCTCTGACCTGGATGGATCCATTGTGAGCTATCAGCTGGTTCTTCATCTCCTCACTCCACAGGCCCCTCTCCGTCAGGTCTTTGAGCAGATGAGGATTAACGATCTGGAACTCTCCGGACAAGACCCTACGAGTATAGATGTTGCTGGTGTAGGCTTCAATAGACTCGTTGTTGCCCAGGATCTGGGCGGTGGAGGCCGTGGGCATTGGGGCCAGCAGCAGGCTGTTCCTCACGCCGTGCTTGGCGATCTTCTCCTTCAGCAGTTCCCAGTCCCACAGGCCGGTGGGCGTCTTCCCCCACATGTCGTACTGAAGGATGCCCTTGCTGACAGGAGAGCCTTCGTAAGTCTCGTAGGGGCCAAGCTCACCAGCCAGCTCACAGCTCGCCTCCAGGGCTGCGTAGTAGATAGTCTCAAAGATCTGGGTGTTCAGCAGCTGTGCCTCAGGACTTTCAAAGGGGTAACGCATCAGGATGAAGGCATCTGCCAAACCCTGGACTCCGATTCCTATTGGCCTGTGACGTTTGTTGGACTTCTCGGCTTCAGGTACTGGATAGTAGTTAATGTCGATGATCCTGTTCAAGTTTTTGACAATAACTTTGGTCACATATGCCAGTTTTTTGAAGTCGTATGTCTGCTCAGGGGTAACATACATGTTGAGAGCGATGGAAGCCAGATTACAGACCGCTACCTCATCTTTGCCGGTGTATTCGACAACTTCTGTGCAGAGGTTGCTGCATTTGATGGTTCCCAGGTTCTGCTGGTTGCTCTTCCGGTTGCAGGCGTCTTTGTACAGCATGTATGGTGTACCAGTTTCTGTCTGGGACTCGATAATGGCGTACCACAGCTGCTGAGCCTTCACCACTCGTTTGACCCTCCCCTCCTTTTCATATTTGGTGTAGAGTTCCTCGAACTCCTCCCCCCAGCACTCATCCAGTCCAGGGCACTCGTTCGGACACATCAAAGACCAGTCTTGGTTGCTCTCCACTCTCTTCATGAACAAGTCTGGGATCCACAAGGCATAAAAAAGATCTCTGGCCCTCTGCTCCTCCTTCCCTGTGTTCTTCTTCAGCTCCAGGAAGTCAAACACATCAAAGTGCCAGGGCTCCAGGTACATGGCGAAAGCGCCGGGTCTCTTGTTGCCACCCTGGTCGACATAACGTGCCGTGTTGTTGTATACTCTCAGCATGGGGACCAGCCCATTTGAATTGCCATTGGTGCCAGCGATGTAGCTCCCTGTGGCTCTGATACAGCTGACCGCCACACCTATTCCTCCAGCCGATTTGGAGATGAGGGCACACTGCTTCAGTGTGTCATATATGCCCTCAATGCTGTCGTCCTTCATGGCAAGCAGGAAGCAGCTGGATAGCTGTGGCTGTTTGGTTCCTGCATTAAAAAGTGTAGGAGAGGCATGGGTGAACCACTTCTCTGAGAGCAGGTTGTAGGTCTCAATGGCTGCGTCGATATCGGTTCCGTGGATTCCATCCGCCACTCTCATGAGCATGTGCTGCGGCCGCTCGGCCACTTTGCCGTTGATCTTCAGCAGGTAGGACCTCTCCAGGGTCTTGAATCCAAAGAAGTTGTAGGAGAAATCTTTGTCGTAAATGATGGCCGAATTGAGGCGGTCTTTGTTCTCAAGAACAATGTTGAGGGTTTCCTTGGAGATCATCGGAGAGTGACGTTGATTCAGAGGGTTGATGTAGTTGTACAGGTCCTCCATCACGTCACTGAACACCTTCTTTGTCTCTTTGTGCAGGTTTGAAACCGCGATTCGTGCAGCAAGGATGGCATAGTCAGGGTGTTTCGTTGTGAGAGTGGCGGCGATCTCTGCTGCCAGAGTGTCGAGCTCCACGGTGGTGACACCGCTGTACAAACCCTGGATCACCTTCATTGTAATCTGGGCTGGGTCTACAAAGTCTGAGTTCAGGCTGTAGCAAAGTTTCTGGATGCGAGAGGTGATTTTGTCAAACATGACACGCTCTTGGCGTCCATCTGAAAATTAAAATGCATATTAGTGAACACTGTCACTCCTGCCTAAAGCTGTCAACAGACACTCAGCAAGGACACGACCATCGGCTGGCTCAAACGCAGTGACATACAAATCTGTACCGTTCTGCTCAAACTGGAGTGTTTATCACTTGTTTTTTAAACACATTTGTAATTGATAAATATATTTTATATAACTATTTTATCTTGCTGTTATTTTTAAAGCATATACGATCTGATTAATGGATCATCAGGAAATGTATTGGGAACTATTTTGTGATTTAAAAAAAAATTTTGTTTCAAACACCACTTTGTAAATGTGGATTTCCAATTGTTTTCTTAGACATCTGATATTACACTGAATCTCTTTGGTTTTCATAATACTGGTGGGGGAAAACATTGGGCACTGGGAAATTGTGACATTTTAAGGTAACTGAGAAAATAATCCCCAGAAAATTCATCATGTAAATTATTATTGCGACCCTAAAGGAATTACAAAGACGATAACATTTAATTCAGATACTGTTATTTACACCGTTTTAACACAGTATACATTGTTTTACTGATAATATACTAACTTGTTCTGTTCCTAGGACAAAAAAACTTTAGTTATATGAAAAACTGTCAAGATGCAAATGACCAGACTTTTGGCGAAATAACACCTTGCTGTTATTACTGACAACTCTGCAGTAATTGGCAAGTTGTGAAATTAGCTTTGGCCATGATTGTATCATTTGGACTAATAAAGCCACTGGATTAAAACAAAGGGCCTGTGGTTGCAGTGTTTCACCTACCATTATATTAGGGGGGTGCCTCGCCCCCCCCTTGAAGGTCAAGTTAATTATATTAAATTTTATTTTCTATATAGTGCCTGATCACAACAGAAGTTATTTAACGTTACCTTTCCTATAGAAGAGGGCTATACCTTTTTCTTGTATTAACGCATTTAATTTCCATGAGATGTGAATTTCCCAGTTACACAGGCCAAAACACACCCACATACTTATTCACCCACACACACACAAACACAATGCCACTAAAGTTGTTGCCAGAAATGTTCATACCTTTTTTATGACCACAAACATCCTGGACAGCCACAACAGGGACAGGTGTGTCGGGCTTGGCCGAGCCCTCCGCTGTTTCTCCTGGCAGAGGAGCGAGCCCGGCGGCGAAATCTGTTTGTTCTTTTGGGCCCTTTCTTTTAAACCGTCCTCTCATGTTGTACAACTACTGAAAAAGAAAAAACGTTAGAGTAAACTAAAACTAAGTTGGAGCTGTTACCTTAACCCTTCCAGTTTTAAAAGTTCAAAATAAAATACTAACCCAGTTCCTGTGGCTGGGCTCAACCTCTTCAGCTCTACCTCAGGAGTGCGGTGGCCTCAGTAAGTTAGCACCTGTCCCACAGACTGACAGATCTGTGTATTGTATCTGACTGTACCTAAGATGAAACAGCCACGCCTGGTGCTTCAGGGAATTTGTTCAGTCAACGTCCACGCCCACACTGTCATACAAATACCTGCACTTGCATAGCAATGTTAACACTGCAGTTCACATTTAACAAA